GGTGAGATCTTGCATGGAGCCCCAGATCGAGGGAGATTATCAGTGGTCTTTTTTTTTTAAACCAACAAAACAAAACAAAGCAAAACATAGCACACATACACACACAATATATACTCCTCTCCCTTTTTTTTACAGCGATTGCGTAATGGTAATCTATTATTTACATTTCCCCCCTTATTCTTCTTTAGAATATTTGTCCTTATTGCCCTGTTATTTCTTATTTACATTTTTCTTCCTTCATGTTCTACTTCTTACTAAGAATAATTCATATTATTATTATTATACATTATTATACACATATTTTCACTTTTGACCTTTCCATATTTATTCTCCTCTATTATTTCTAGTCTCCAACCAGACATACCACTTTTTCCATGTTATATAATACTCTCTGTCTTCCTTTTCTTTTATCTCTTTTGTTAATTTGTCCATCTCAGCACAGTCCAGGATTTTTCTTATTACTTCTTCCTTTGATGGTATATATTCTCATTTTTCCAGCACTGTGCATATGCTATTCTTGCCGCCGTTATTATATGTAAAATTAAGTACCATATTTCTTTACTATATTTTCTGTTTAAAATACCAACAAAAAGATATCTGGTTTCCAGTCTATGGGTTGGTCTATTATTTCTTCAATCTATTTTCTTATTGTAGACCAGTATTTTTTTGCAACTGGACATGTCCACCATAAATGATAATATGTTCCATGTACTTTTTTACATTTCCAGCATGTTGGCGAATTGTTCTGAACATCTTGGCAAGCTTTGCTGGTGGAAGATGCCATCTGTAAAACATCTTCAACTGGTTTTCCTTGAATGCCGCCGACATAGTCAATTTTATATTTATTTCCCATTTTTTTCCCCATTTCTCCAATTCTATATTATATCCAATGTTTTTTGCCCATCTAATCATTGTGTTTTTGACAACCTTGTCTTCCATTTTATATCTCAATAGGTATTTGTATAAATTGCTAATTAATTTTATTTCTGTTCCATGTATAATTTTATCCAATTCTTGCAGCTCTTTTTGGATTTCATATAATTTTTTGTCCTCTGTATATTTAGATTGAATTTGTGTAAATGTCCACCAGTCAATCTCTCTGCCAATATCTTGTTCCAATTCTTGTTTTGTTTTCAGATTTCCCTGTTCATTTACTAATTCCTTGTATCTAATTATCTTATTTATATCCAATAGGTTTAGGTATTTCAGAGCTTCTATCAGTGGTCTTGTATGTCTTCCATTTTCTAATTATTGCTCCCACAGTTGATTTCTTCACACCAAGCTGCTTGCCTATTGCAGATTCAGTCTTTCCAGCCTGGTGCAGGTCTACAATTTTGTTTCTGGTTTCCTTCGACAGCTCTTTGGTCTTCACCATGGTGGAGTTTGGAGTATGACTGTTTGAGGTTGTGGACAGGTGTCTTTTATACTGATAACAAGTTCAAACAGGTGCCACTAATACAGGTAATGAGTGGAGGACAGAGGAGCCCCTTAAAGAAGAAGTTACAGGTCTGTTAGAGCCAGAAATCTTGCTTGTTTGTAGATGACCAAATACTTATTTTCCATCATAATTTGCAAATAAATTCTTTCCAAATCAGACAATGTGATTGTCTGGATTTGTTTTCTCATTTTGTCTCTCATAGTTGAGGTCTACCTATGATGACAATTATAGGCCTCTCTCATCTTTTTAAGTGGGAGAACTTGCACAATTGGTGGCTGACTAAATACTTTTTTGCCCCACTGTATATGAGATGCTTTCAATGCTATGCTGGTAATGTTTGAATTACAAACTGATCACTTAATAAACATTTAAAATTACAGTGAGCTAGTTTTTTCTGGTTTCTGGCAGTAAATGCCCGTTCAAAAGAATGGATTCACATTTATGACCGCAGCATTTGCTTAATAATTGCAGATTCTTTTAATGACCAGGGCAAAAATGTTGTAAAATTGGGTCTGGTTCCATGGTTGCTTCAAGTTACAGCTGGAATGACTTATGACCTGGTAAGACTTACTACCTATAAATGACTACCTGTATAGATATTAATTCATTTTTATTCCACCCACACATAAGTGAACTCACACTCAACTGAATCCATCTTGTATGCTTTAGAAGGATAGATTGCAGGAAGTTCTCAACTTAACAACCACAATTGGGACTGTAATCTCAATTGTTAAGTGAAGCGGTCATTAAGTGGGATGTCCACATGACTATTATGCTCAATGATCGCAATCCCAGGACTCCTGGTTAAGTTGTTAAGCACCCTGGTTGTTAAGTGGACAGAGTGAAAGAAGGGCAGAGGCAAATCCTTTAGTAGGCTCCAGGAACACTTGCAGGGAGAGGAAATCAAGAACACCAGGGCACAACTTCAGATTGACAGGAGGGAAGTTTAAAAATAATGAAGTATTATTTCACAGAAAGAGTAGTGGAAGCTTGGAAATGGAGGTAATGGATCAGTCGTCAGTAACTGAGTTTAAACATGTCTAGGATCCCATCATCTGATAAAAAATAAATAACTAATGAAAATAATAATTAAAAAATAATAAATACACAAATTAAATTAAAAAGAAAACAACTGAAAGAGCAGACTTGATGGATCACTAGGTTCCCCCCCTCCACCATCAGTTTTCTATGTTTCTATGAAATCCTTTGGTGGACTACAGGAGTGGAACTGAAGATTTCAACTTTGTTTCTGTGGCCCACCAAAGGATTTCAGCTCCTCTCCCTCCCTTCTACGTGCAGCCTACCTCATCGACTAGCTATATATACTTATTTAACTTTGGTTCCAAGGAAAAGTAATTAAGCTCTAAAGTACAGTGTTTTGGTTTGGTGCATATGAGTGAATGGTTAATCTATAAGGAAACTAAAGAGTGACACCTTCAAAGACCATAAAAATCTAATCTTTTGGCCTCAGAATTACAAATTGGACTCATAAGTCCATTCTGGCTGTTTGCATAGCTTCATCCATATTTCAAGGTCATATTTGGAAACTGGCTTTTATATATACAGATTCTTCTTTATATACTGTAGCTTTTCTTTGAAGAGCTAGTAAGAACTGATTGGAGGCTGACAAAATTGTTTCTGAATATTCTGGAACACTAATAAACCCACTCCCTCTTTTACTGGTAAAATTGTGGCCTAAGGGTGTGTCTATGTAAAAGACTTGTCTGAAGTTGGATATGCTTATACAGGCCATGTAAACTTGTGTAGCTTATGTAAGAAGAACCCAAGAATCAATTCAGCCTGTGTAGTGTTGTATGTTTATGTTAAGCTAAGTATAACTGATTTGTAATACCAGTAGATCTTTGCATTTTACTCTAACACAATATATGCATACTTTTTAAAAGCCTGCATACTACATATTTGTTGTCAGATGTTCTGATTAATGAAGCACTTCAAAGAACTTTCAGGCATGTTTCCTAAAGTCTTTATTACAGAGCTACAAATTGCCGGTCACCATCATGGACGTTTTGGTGCCAGAATCTGACTTCCTCTTGCTGGCTTCAAACTTTTCTTGCTAAACCCCTCCCTTATCTTGCAGTCACAAGTCACATTATCCAATTAGTGTGAAGGTCAAAAGTTTACTTCCTCTTTCTTTCCCGGGCTTTCCCCCCCCCACTCTAAGCTATGTATTAACCCAGTAAATATCAGACAGTTTTGCATATTGTCAAAGCAAGAATATACAGTATTTGCAGCATTGACATTTGTATCAAAACTACATGTCATATTCTTATAGTGTAGTATATTTTTTATTGAGAACTGAACAGTGAATTATGAAAGTTTTTTCCTTAAATCTTACGTCTGCTATGGCAGTAAATAAATCACTATCTGCTTCTGTTTCTTCATCTGCAGTATTAGAAAAATTAAGATTTACTATATAAATGTATTATTGATTTTATTAAGGATTTGCTAGTTAAATGACCATGGATACATTTCTGCCTAATAAAATACAAGGATTTTGGCAATTTTCTAATTAAATCAAACTAATATTCAGTATGTTCCTTACTCGGCTGAATGATTTACATACATTTTTTTTATTTAGCAAATTTATATGGCTGCCCATCTCAATGAATGTGAATGTACAGTCAGCCGCAATTAAAAACAATATGACAACTATTCATTAGAATTTATATGGCTGCCCATCTCAATGAATGTGAATGTACAGTCAGCAGCAGTTAAAAACAATATGACAACTATTCATTAGAACAAATAAATACAAACAAAAATTAAGATTGCTGGAGAGGTACAATATAATCTTGATTGAAAGGAAAATAAGCTTAGTACTTCATTCAATCTGCTTCTGAAATGATTTTGAGAATAAAATGGACTGCAAGTGAACAGAGAATGGCAGGGTAAGAAAGGGCCGAGCTCCCAATGATAAAAATACAGCTATAATGTATAATTGGACATGCTTCCCACCTCTTTTGACAATATTTACTAGGTAAAGCTGCATGTGTTGAATTAAAAGTACACACACAATTTACTAGAACCTAGTAGAGATCAAAGTTTGAATTGGAGGTTGGGTTCACAGAGCAAGCCTGATCCTGTTTTGGGACAACCCATAACTATTTTTATCGAAGGAGGAAAATCATGATTTAGTTAAAGATTGGAGAAATGAAGTTTGGAATTCTGGATTTTATTAAGATTTATTCTCCATCCCTTGGGACAGTTGCTATGCGGCACAGAGGCTGCTAAACTTTGGCAGAAGTTTTGTGCCTCTTAACAGTTAGTTCTGTTTTGAAATCTGTATGCATTGTTAGCTGAGATATCCATTTAAAACTTAAGCAAAGTTTTTCATATAAAGCCAAGAACAAAATCCAACTTAAATATTTGTGTGCATCCTCCCTCCCTCCTTTTAAAACCTCACCATTTCTTTGCTAAGAATTGGAATATGTCCTGTTTTGTGTGCTTCCAGAATAAAATGCTTTTGTCTTTTCCTTGTTGACAGTCAAATACTATATAGCAGGAATGAGTATGCTCTTAAGTTCCTTAACCTCAGGAATAGACATGCTGCTTGACCTCAGCGACCTCCTTCAGGTAATTGTAACTGCTTTTGTTTAACTATTAGAACATTAACACATGCCAAAAACTAAGAGCAGAGAGATTATAATAGCAGCTTTACTGAAGCAACTTTCATTATCTTTTTCTCCCATTTAGCAATATTGGTTCATTTAGTGCAATAAAAATCGGGTGTTTGGTATATATCACTCCATTTTACAAATAACAAATCAACAGTATAATTTTGATGCTAATAATTAGACTGCCAATGCTGTGGGCTTTATATTCTGTTCAGATTTATGTTTATGTATTTTATTTTAAAAGTATATTTAAAAAATACTGGCAAAAGCAGGTGCTCAGTTCTATAAAGCTGGAGGGAAATTATTTTAGCAGAAACTTCAGAAGTTGGCTTGAAAGAATACTGGCAAAATTATATATGTATTATTTCTTAAGGAGCAATTTTCACAACTTAGGGCTCATCTTGGGATGGAAATTCCAAGAATCCAGCATCTGGAACACTAGAGATGATTTCCCCACATATGTTATGATGATTAGATGAACTTGTCATCTGCATGAAAATGATTCAACTGAAATATGCAGGGTGATGCAAAAACCAGCAGTCCCCAATTTTTATGGCTTCATGGATTGGAGGCCGTGGAGGTGGGGATGTGGGATGGTTTTGCATGTGCAATCCAGTTTCTGCGCATGCTCAAATGAAGCTTCGTATGCACACCCGTTGCTTGTATGGCCCAGTTGCCTGCAGGCCATGGATTGGTACCAGTCCATAGACAAGGTCCCTTCCCTATTCTGTTCTGTTCTATTCTATTTCCTTATTAAATGGATAATTTTCAACATCATTCTTGTCTTTATAACATCTGATTTATCTCTTATGGTCTTAGATATATTGGATTAGAGTATGTCTCATTTAGCAACTCTTATTTAGCAACCATTTGTGGTTATGCTGATGAAAAAGTAACTGCATTAATTCTCACATTTACAACTTTTATGGAAGAAAAGAAAAGCTTAAGTATCTGTATTTGTATTTCATTGAAGTACAAATGTCTGGAAGACTAAATTCCAAAATAATTTGAAGAATTCTTAAAAAGAGCATTTTAGATAATACTTTCCAAAAGCAAATCACATCTCTTTCATATAGTAGTAATGAGGGAATGTTGATTATCCCTACATCTGCTGGGAGACAGAGTCAGTGATTTTCCCAGAATAATCAAAAAGAACAGCTTTTCTCTTTCAGTAGAAGGAAATCAGTCTTTTCTAATGTGATTGTAACCAACAGGGAAGATACAGCAATCAGACTGGAATTAATGGAGAATTAACTTTGGGTAAAAGTAATTGTGTAATACTGCATTTCTTGATTTTATGGGGAAATTAAAAGGAAATTAAATCATACATCTACCTTGAAATTGAAGACAATGGATTATATGGCAGGAGTAGTTAATGGAAAAAATGAGTCAAAACTTTCTGAAAAATGAAGAGACTAAAAGCAAAACTGCACACAAGTCCAACAAAGAAGAAAAATGGAAAACCACAGAAGAAGCTGATATTTAGTGAATTAAAAAAAACTACACAAAAACAAAACAGAAAGAGGAATAGAAGAAATACATATTATTAGCTCAGATTTATAAAAATATTATCAAGAAAATTAAATCTCAAAATGATCTGAGATTGGTAAACCAAATAATAGATTTTTTCAAACTTATTGGAAAATAAAAGAGAGAAAGAAACTGAGCTGTTGAGAGAAGATAGTGTAAAGGATAAGAAGATAGTGTAAAGGATAAAAGATAACAAAGGCAGAATTACTCAGTTCCCATTTTGATTAGTCTTCTCTAATCCCACTGGGTATTTGTGAAAAACAGGTTCAAGGAACATAGTTCCAGCTTGAGTCTTCTTGAGAGAAATATAGTCAAAGATCTATTTACTTTGAATGAGTTTAAATCTCAAGAGATAGATGAATTGCATTCTAGGATATCAGCGAACCCTCTGATGATTTGGCTGAAGCTCTATTCTTATCTTTAAAAAGTCCTAAGAGAATGATTGAAGTACAGATGTCTAGAAGAGATAAATATTCTTTTCTTCAGAAAGAGGAAAAAAGAATCTGATTAGATATTAAAGTAATTGTTCTGTAAACACCTTGAAAACAATTTAGTGATTCTTACAGTTATCCTGAATATGTTAAGAACATGTCATTGCTGGACTTGCTTTATTTTTTTAATTGGACTATTGAATGGGTAGATCAGAACCTTGATGAAGCTGTTGAATGTTATGCAGAAACAGCTTCCAGAATCTCCTCTGAAATGGATGATGCTGATGTGTGGATGCTTTGTGATACTGGTTTTATATGCCCCAAAGCCTGGACATAGATGGTTTGAGGTGGGGTTGTTAAAGCTGACAGGAACCATTCTTGGAGAAGGATGATTTGATGTATCACATGATATAGCTTTTCAGCCTTTGTGCTCCTCCTGAATGCCACATAATCAGATCCTTGGAGGCCTCATTTCCAGATGCTACCAGATTTCCCTGCAATAAAGCTTACTTCATCCATGATTTTGTTTTGAGTGAGAGGACAGACATGACATGCATTACCAAAACTTGAATGGGTTCAGAAGGTGATGTTGGCCACTCAGAGTTATAACCATCTTGGGACATGATTTTAAGGCTGTGGAGTTGAGGGTGGAATGGCTGTTGTCAGGTGAAGGAAACTTGTAGAAGCATTTATCCCCAGATAAATGAACATGAAATCATGTGTGAAGTTGGGCTCAAGAAATTAGTTGGGATTGTTCTGTTGTGGCCTTCCTGCTGCACAGCAGCTTCACCACTTAAGGCTGTACCTGGGCTGGTGATCAGAGTTTCTGGGCTTATGTTGATGGAAGACCTCAAACTGCCTTCACTCATTGTAAACTCTGAGCCAGAGTTCATGGATGGTCAGTGACCCAACTCTCATTGGTGGTCACATGGTAACAAAGGTTCTGGATTGGTCCTGAATGACCTCTTTCTGTCTGCTGATCCTATGTGCTCCTTATTTACCAAAGAATACCAGGAAAAGAAGTGGCAGAAGAGCGAGCTAGTCTACCAGTGGAGAAAGATTGAGAGCAAGTCTGACTGGATATGTACACAATCCTAGATTACTGTGATGAAAACCATAGCAAAATTTTCTTTTCTTCTCTTTTTCTTCTTTTACAGTGTGTACAGTGTACTATTCAGTAGTCCCTGTTTAGGCTATTTCTCACTCTTTTAAAAATGGAGAGGCCTAAACATTTTCATGACTGCTGCAAGACATCTGATAGATAAAATTGCGCAAATCCGACAAGCTTGATCTGACTGAGGCTGGTCTTGTTTGGTATCTGGGAGGAGTTTGTACCACAGGTACTTGTATATCTTGGGGAAGTGGGCAGGGTCCCCAGAGCTACGAGTGTCTTCACCTGCTAGCTGGATCTGTTTCCCTCTTGGCTAGTTAAGTGTGCCCCAGGGATGATGTGTGGTTAGGTCCAAACAGCAGTAAGTTGTTCCTTGAATGACCAGGGTATTCCCTCCTTCCTTGAAAGAGGTGTCATGCAATTCTATCTTAAGAAATCAACATTGGACTCAAAAGACAATTTTCATCCAGTTTTCAATCTCTTTTTAGGAAGGTGATAGAAAAGGTGGTTGGACTGTAACTCCAGAGGACTCTGGGAGAAATGCATTCTCAGTATTCTTTATAGTCAGGTTTCAGAATGGAATATAGCACTGAGATAATAATAAAGTTTATGGATGATCTTTGGCAGGATCAAGATAGAGGTGGCACAATTCTTCTGAGCCTCTTTGATTTCTCACAGTTTTTGATATTATCACTCATGGTACCCCCTGGATCAACTTTAGGGATGAAAAGTTGGGTACTCTTTTACCATGTTTTTCTTTCCTTTCTCTGAATACTGTGTGCAACGCTTGCAGTTCCTCAGAGCTTTATGCTTTTTTCCCCTCCTATTTAACATCTACATAAATTGCTAGGAGAGAACATCCAATGGCATGTGGTCAGGTATAATCATTGTTTCTGTTTTATTGTATAGCTTGACTTGCTGACCAAGTGATACTCTAGTGCAGGGGTGTGAAACTGCCGGCCCATGGGCTGGATGTGTCACGCCAAAACTGCGCCCACCCCATTGCCGGCAATGGGAAAAAAGTCAAGATATGTCACGACACGTCATGTGATGTCGCGAGTTTGACACCTGTGCTCTAGTGAGTTGTCCTGGTGCTTGATCGCTGTTAGGATCCGGTGTGAATGAACAGGCTTGGCTCCCTAACTAGTATGGCCACTGCATGGAGTGGAATTATAGAGGCTTTTGTGATTTTTGATTTTTGTTACTTCATGTTTTTTTTTCTTTTTCAAAATTTTATTTATAATGCAATTGAACATTGGATATAACGTGACATTCCAGTATATACAATCTTATCAAATTATTCCACATTTTACAATCGATTCATCTCTGAAGATACATCTAAATTTTATATACAATACTTAATCTATTTCTCTATTTGCTAACCTAAAATTACATATATTTCTATCTTAACGTTAGCCTATAAATTTTTATTTTTGATGGAAACTCTGTTACTCTGTCTTGACTTCAAGTGAATCATTAAAAATGAATTTTTAAACTGTTTAAAGTTAATCACTTTAGCCATTAGAGCTTTTGAAAAATGGTGTATAATTATTTTTAAAGCAAAGAAATTTATTCAGTATTACATAACACTCTTTTTATTAAGCACAGCATGTTCTCCAAAACTTTCAGAAGATGAACTTAACGAATCTAACTGGAACTGTTTGTGACATAGACCTCCTTTAAAATCTAGCATTAAGAATTGACCAGGAAGATAATCCATAGATGGCACCCCAAACCATTAAATTTTAATGTTTTTAGGTTGTATTGACAGAATTGCAAGCAGATAGGTATATACAGTATTACCACCTTTGGAGCGATGCTTAATTAGTCATTACTTATCAAAAGTGCAAAATAATCCAGTACTCTTTGAAAATGAAATTTGTTGTT